CATGTTGCGCCTCACTTGCAACCGGGAACTCGGTTCCGGGTTCTGGGTCTCGCTCCCCTCCATCTTCCCGTCCCCACCCATGCCCCTCCCGTCTCGCTCCCCTCCATCTATTCCCTCCCCAACCCCGTCCCCACCCCTGCGCTTCCCTCCCCCAGCCCCGTCCCCATCGATGCACCTTTCGTCTCGCTCCCCTCCATCTTCTCGTCCCCACCCCTGCCCCTGCCGTCTCGCTCCCCTCCATCTGTTCCCTCCCCAACCCCGTCCCCACCCGTGCGCCTCCCGTCTCGCTCCCCTCCCTTCCTTCCCCTCCCTTCCTTCCCCTCCCTTCCTTCCCCTCCCTCTTCCTTCCCTTCCCTCTTCCCTTCCCAACCCCGTCCACCTCCACCTCCATCTTTCGTCCCCGACAACGTAAGCTTTTCCTCGCTCTCCCCCGGCACTAGCGACTAAACGAGAACCCAAGCATTGGAGATGCTTTTGGGAAAAAAAGGATCACAAGGAATGTCCCGGGGCCATATGCCATTGCGGGGTTGCTGAAAGGCTTTTCCTTGGCAACGCCAGCATGCCCTTGCAGCCCAAGCTGCTCTCTTTCCTTGTGAATACCTTGGCTGTGCGATCCCGAGGCCTCTTCGCGGGATCGTTGCATGGCGTGGTCTAGTGAACAAAGATCAGGTATGGGCTATGTCAGAACTCCTGAAGCAAGTTGTACCAGTGAAACTTCTGACTATCAAAGCCACACCAAAATAGTTCAAGCTATGGAGAGAGCAGTTCAAGCGCTGTCGCTGTCCAGTTTCGCACCAGCTCTGCATACAAAGTGCACAGCTGGCTTGTACTCATCAGGCACTGACTCATGCATCACTGGGCCTCACAGGTCAGCCCGCACAGAAAAAGAAGAACGCATGGACTTGGGGGTCTCTCAACTGACACCTGCAGGAAGGTCAGAACTCGGCTCTAAAGTGGACAGTATGGACTGCTCAGTAAGAGCAATGAATGGACAATGTTCAGTTCAGTTGTTGATCTACGAACTCAAATTGTGGAACAGCAATTCTTTTCTTTTGGACTGCGGCTAGGCGTAGGCTTCCCGGAGCTCCCCAACCCCCCAACTCAGCGCGATGCTGCTTCGGTAACGGTTCACGTGCGCCAGCAAGCCCTGTGGCGGCTTCATGTGGTGTTCATGCAATGGATGGGGTCCCAAGCGGAAAACGTCCTTTTCTATCAACTTGAGAGAGGAGGGGGTGAACGAAAGGTAGCAGGCAATCACCAGCAACCCTGGTCAAAGTCCATGACGGCGTGAACCGGCGCAGGGGGGATTTGATCCCACGAACAGAATCAACTCTTACAGGACCAAACTCAATGCACAATCCCAACTCCTGATTGTAATACATTTTTGCTAAAGCAAGGAGAACTCAGGTAGCTCAAGCTACCTTTCGTGATTGCTCAGCCCTTCTGAATGTCAGGGCACCTATGCTTTGTCCGCACCAACAAGGAATCAGAAGTTTCTTGCCTCATCTTGCACACACTTCGGAGGGCTGGCTGGCTGGTTTGCGCGCTTTTCCGTTGTACCAAGGACCCCTGAAAAGTCGAAATCACCCGTTTTGGAGTCATTTGAGGCTCCAAAGCCTTCGGTCATCCTGAGAGCTTCGTCCAGCTTGTTGTGACCCAAGCTGCGCTCGTGCGGGAGCTGAAGAATCCCAAAGAAGGCGTGGTTGCAGCATTTGTTTGGAAAACAGAAAATCAGATGGGTTTTGAAAACTATTGACCATGATTAGTATATATATATACTGTATATCAGAGAGTCAGCGCATGCGAAGACCATTGTGTCCACGGTGTCCGTCGTTCTGTCTATTCTCACTCTTCACACATCTCCGGCGAGTCTGTTCCCACCATCCCAAGCGGCCCGAAGCAGTCCGAAGCAGCCCATGCCTGATGCATATCGCTCCATGATACTTCACAAACTTTGTCGGTCTGGACCCCCCAGTTGGTAAAGCCTGGCGACCAGGGGTGGAGGATTCAAGGCAGGGAGATATTTATCTTCATGCAGATTTGGGAGTATTGGACATCTGGTCTGTGTGTCTGACTGTTTTGATATTTTTCTTTCAAGACTACAGTAGCTTTGAGTGGAGTTGCACAGCGCAGCGCCGCAGCGCATGCACAAGCGGAGCCGGAGTCATGTGACAGCTGTGAAGGTTGTGCGACTTCAATAGCCCTGCAGTAGCCGTCATTCGCCCTGCGAAGGCAGGAGTGGTATACTAAAAGCCTCACAGCAAGATGAACGAGCTATAATGTAGACTCTTGATAAATAAACCATCCCGTTTGGATGCGCTCACTCGCGGACGATCCCGTTTGGATTAAGAGTCCTCTTCATGTGGGGGTATCATTAATAAAGTCTACATTAAAAGCCCTGCCGCACAGCCAATATCAATCAACTAGCCCTGACATTAAGCATCCTAAGCATCCTAAGCTGTGGCCGCATTGGCATTGGCATCAACCAGTTGTGAGCCGGGAGAGATCATGTCAACAGTTTGATGACCTCAAGTTGCAACACAAAAAGTTGGGAACCAGAGTAACCAGAGGTGATGATTCCAGTCGGGACACGTCGGGACTACGTCTGAGTCACTACTGGTCCGCACTCCAATTCGGTTGCTTTACGCCTTCAAAGACCTCCCGCGCACGCAGGGCTTGCAGCTCATCCACGAAGTTCACGAAGGCATACCCGAACATAGCCTGACCAGCTGTGAACCAGGTGACGGTCGACCAGGTTGGCCAAGGCTCGCGGAGCTCGCGGACCTTCTTGCCCTGGGTGTTCCTATTTGGCCTCCTCAGGCATCCTCTAGACGGCTGTGAACATGTCAAGAGGGGTCACATCGAATTTTAATTGCTGACAAAATTAGGGATAGGAAGGGAAATCTGCGTGTTGCGTGGCAGATTCTTTGTGAGAAAATCCCAGGGATCATCCTTGGGATCCTCGCGTGATCCTCGCCCAACGGAACTTCCCTCCAGGTTGACACAACAAGGCTCACTATGCCATAGGCATCATCGGCGGAATATCTGCGCTGTCATCACTGCGTGCGCCTGGGTGCGAAAGTTGATCGGAATGTAGACAAAGTCGAAGCCTCAAGCGGGGCGACATGGTCTGTAGAGTCGATATCATCTGACATGGCCATGACATGGAAACACAACATGATCCAAGACCTTGAGTCGTCTATGTGTCATTCAAAACAGTGCCCCTCTGTGAGTTAAACCTTGGCAAGTTAAACTGAAAGAGGCTTGAAACTCTGAAATTCTGAAGGAAAAGATCACCCAGTGCAAATGCGAGCAATGAAAAAGGCAACTGAGTCTGTATGCAGAACTGACAAACAAATACAAACAAAGCCGTATTCCCAGGAGAAATAAAAAGTCACAGAGTCTAGAAGTGTCTATGTTTGCACCGAAAATATTGGAATGAAAGGGTTCTCTATCTATAACAGCTGCTTCTATAGGCCTAATTAAGTGCCAACAACTCTTCAAACCAACGAAGAGTTGGGGTTGAAACATCTCTGAGGCACCCGACATGATTCAAACCCATTTCGGTTCATCAAGGCCACCAGCATGTCCCGGGAGTACCTGAGGTCTCCATCACCAACACCGTCCTCCCCTGTTCGGTGTGTCCAGCTCGACGAGGTTTCGAGACCGCCCCCCAGGTCCATCGCCGGCGGTGGGGTTGGGGGCCGGCGCACCCCACTGGGAGATTCCGCAACATGACGGTGGTCTGCTTCTCTTTCTGCCTCAGACCGGAGATGAACCGCCTCCAAACCGCCTTAAAGGACCGAGCCTCCCGGGGAGTAGAAGTGAGAGGAGTCCCAAACACCCAGTGACTACAAAGTGTTTGAACCAGGTGATAGATTCGAGGGTGGAGAGATGGTTCTTTGACTCCTTGGTATTGATCATGAGCAGCATTTCAATGAGTTGCTCTTTGTATAATTATATATACATAATCAACGTGTCTTAGCTAGGATCCAGGATACACATGAAATCACAGAGGAAAATAGACATGTATGCTCAAAGGTTGTAGTTGCAGCATGCGTTTTATGACCTTGGGCACAAGCCGTTTCGATGGTGAAGACTTCTCCTGGAGAATCACTGGCCAACACAGAGGTGGAACCCTGAAAAGTAACAGAAAAAAACTTGGTTTGTAGCTATATACTTGCCCTATCTTGCCCTTCTGGGTACAATTTGACGCCTGGGGCACATCACACGCCGTCGGTTTCTGTATGTTTCTTTCACGTCCGCCTCAATCTTTTGAGGTAGCCTTTAAGAGGACGCCTTCAACCCTGTATGCAACTTCCGGGCAATTTCCTTTCCAGCTTGTGGAGGAACGAACCTGAAAAATAGGTTTGACATGCTTTGACCATGGGTCAAGCCAGCCCCCCCTGATTCTTCCCCTTCCAGGTCTCTGTCCTTGCGATGCTCTCGCTGTTCGTGCCGATCCGGCCGCCTGTGTGGTCAACCAACGGAGAGAGCCCATTGGTCTCAACGCCCATTGGGCGTTCCATTGATTTCTCCCCTCGGTTGTGCTTTGGTCTGCAGTATGTTCCTGAATAGCCCATCAATACTTGGGTGACCCCTGTATTGAACCGGTCCAAGTCGGATCGTGACAAACTCTTTGTGGAGATTGCAGCAGGTTGGACTGCAGCAGCGACTGGACATGACGCGACGTCGTTTGATGCGCTTTGCGGTCGATCTGCTGTCTCGCCAGCGGCTGAGGATACAGGTATCTCCACGGCCAAATCAAAGTCTGGCCCCCCTGATTTACTTTTTTGAGAAAGAGATGCACCATGATAGTACAAAATATGTTACAATCACTTTGTGAAGACTCTCTTGTTTTGCTTTTCACACCTCTGCAGCAAAACCACCGCGCTTCGAACACGCCGCCACGAGCCCCCCGACCCATCTCGGCGCGGCGCGGTCGGCATCATTTGCGGCCTCCGGTGGAAGCGCACCACCGTTGGAGAGGATTGCGACCGGAACACAGAAAGGATCAGGTGTTGCATGGTAGTTCTGTGACTTTGTTGTTATGTAATGTAATTAATTTGTGTATATTATAATGCTTACAACTTACAACATGCTGGCCTTTATTGAAAAATAAAACACGATCTTTGGGTGCTTGAAGAGGAGCACTTCATGGCATTTCGCCTTGTGATGCCTTGTGAATATCTTTATATTACGTGCTCCTTCAAGAGACTATAGCATGGACAACTTTGCTATGTCCCTCGAACGTGTTTGAAAACCTCCCCGTAGGCTGCTATTGAAAGCCTTGTCGGAAGAGACAGAGGATAGTCTCAATAACATGCTTTGCAAAAGCGTACAAACGCTGCATAGGTCCAATAACTCAGACCTTGAAAATCTGAAGTCGAGCTGAGCAGCTTCTGCACTGTGTTCCAACCATAAAATCACATAAAACCTAAAGCTCTACGTTGGAAAATGGTAAGCATTCTCACTTTCCCGACCCCATCCTTGAGTATGGGTGAACGCGGCCGAACCCGGACACTACTTTGCAACGCTCAGATGCTGGACACATATTGACTTTTTCATGCAAACGATTTGGTCACCGTCATTGGTGATGTTCCTGATATCCTGTTGCGTCCTCATCTAAAGATCGCTCCTTCAACAAAACCTCTATATCAAACAACATACCCCTGCAACGACTAGAGTTTTGATACACAATCCAAATCTTGAACTGCTGGCTCCAAATGTCGAGTGCTTCCAAGGTCACTGCTGGGCATCCTTCCACTTGAACATCAACAACTTAATATGTCGAATCACTCGTTTGAGGTCATGCTGACAATTGTTCCCGAACGCGTGGTAGTCACCTGGCACTGGCAACTCGATGAGATTTAGTTCAGGTGGAAGTTTCTTCTCAGTGTCTCGCATGTCCTGCAAAAGCTCTTCGATAATATCTTTGAGCAAATCCTTCCCATTCCCGCCAGCAGCAAGTGAACCAGACTTGACATGTTCGAGCAAATTCTGGAGGACAACTTGTGTGGAGGGCGGCAAAGCAATGTGGGAGTACTCGTTAACTATACTCCTCAGTCGATTGCAAAAAGCCTGTTTCGAAACATGTGGGGCATGACCCGCGCATTTATTCAATTCCACCAGGAATTCATTCCAGCGAGGGAGACGTTCCATTGTCTCTTGCACAAATTGTTCGTTGTTCTCGATACCTAGATGGTCGAACTCATCACCATCCTCTGGAGAGTAGCCTTCGCCAAAAAGGCGTTCCAACGAGCATCCTCTAAGCATCGGTGTTCCATGATGTCTCGGCCAGAGTTTGGTCTTCTTGCCGCTCCGGCTCATGTTGACATCTCCACTGAGCAATTGCATGCTGAAGAATACTGGCCCTGTCGACCTCATCACCTTTACCGCACTGCCAACGTGCTCCGGGTCAGGCCCAACTTGAGGTATGTGACACTGAATCTTAGTCCTTCCGCCCAAAGGTGTAGTTCAGCCAACTCTGCAAAAATATAAGTTGCTCCATCTGAGATCATTTGTGATGCAACCTTGTCACCGAGTCTTAGGGGAATGGCTCCCGGTAAAGGACTTGCATAACAGCGCGCCCACAGCATTCTTTGCAGCATGTGGCTCTTGGAGGAGGCTCTTGGAGGAACCTATGTGATTTGTCCAACTTTCGACAATGAAGCTTGAGCACTTATTTTGTGGCCAGGCATTGTGGGACGCTGGTCGACGAACAAATCAAATTCAAGGGTGAGATGTTTGATAACCTTGTTTGATATTAACCCCAGAGTCAGTGTCTAACCTCTTCTGGCAAACTCTTTTCCCATCCACGAGTACAAACTCGCACAAAAGGACCCGCGCGGGCCACCACTAGGGCCCAGGGCATGTGCTGCATCTGATGCATCTGCGGCAGTTGCATCTGCGATTGCAGAATTTGTTGCTGCTGCATAAGGTGATGCAGCCTCAGCGGCGTTCATGCAGCCCCAGAAAAGACCTCAAGCCCCACTTTTGGGTGTTCAGACGGGTCATCTCGGGAAAGAGGCTTCCTCGCAAAGGCAAGCCCCAAGCCCAGGAAAGCGTCTAGAACTGTGTGGCGGAGTTGGAGACAAGCTCTTAGGACTCTTGAGTGATTGGGTGGTTCTCGCATATTACGTACAATAGTGAAGCCTTCACCGTGGTCGCCGTACCGTCTGAACGAGGACCACACTGCAGTTGTTGCTGCTGCATCTTTTGAAGATGAAGTTGCCTAGGCCGGCACTCATTCATTTCAACGAAACAATTCAATACAAATCTCCACTCTCCCTCAATGGACCTGTTCATAGAGGAAATCCATCTTCCAAGCAGCCATATTCCACTTCCGTGCTTGTTTGATGGAGGGTGATTACTTTCTCAGTTGGAGAGCAACTGCCGCCGTCGGGGCCGCGACTCCAGATGGTGTCGTTGCTTCAGCAAGTTCTGGCGGAAGCTGCAGCGGTTTTTTCAGTGCTTAGTCTCCAAATGACCACGCCCGAACGTCCCCAGAGGATCCGATGCTATCAAAATGTGGTCTGCGGATGCCCAGTGCTTCACCTGAATTTGGGTGAGTTGAGACATCCCAAAAAAAACATTCCACGATATCTTCCGCCCAGTTCAACACAATATACCTGCTTGCCTCCCACCACATCGGATGTGGTGTTTACTGTTTGAGGGTGTTTTTTTCCTTCGGCCTCTGCAAGCATTGAGTCCAGGTCAGCGTAGCCAGGCCTAGGCGGACCCAACGAGACGGTCTGCGTCGCCGCACGGACCATTCACCCCGCAGCAAAACACCGAAGACGTTGGTTTTCGCCGAAGCAAACCGATGTTTTTAAAATGCAGTGCGCAGAGTGAACATGAGAAACCTTTGGGGTTCTCGCCAGTGCTGTTTTTTGACGCCATATATCAATTCGTCGACCATCCACCAGAACTTGTACTCAGGGAAAACACTTTCCACCTGTACGGACAGCTAAATATAACGGCACCCAACTTTCGGGCGTTGAGACTGTCTCGTGTTGTCCAACGACCTTCCAGCTACAAGAACCGGACCAGCTTCAGAGATTAAAATGGAGTTTCATCCAGGGAATTTAGAAGTGGATGCCTGCAAAAGAACCCCGCCATGTTGTCCGGCTGAAAAACGCATATTAATGCATATTATGGCTTCGCATCATGCAGCAGGCGATTGGCTTGCCTGGAAAGCGACATGTTCTTGATCTATACCTGTCCTATTTGCATGAAAGGCATCAGATTCGATGATCGCCTTCGACCTCGTTCTCTGTCCGCGAACACGAACAAATGGAAGGCGGGCACGCGGCTTTCACGCAGCTTTCGGCCTTCTTCCAGAGGCTCTTTGGGAAGTCTCCATATTTTGATACACATCCACTTACTGTAGATAAAGAAAAAGATGAAAAAAAGCAAGCCCCCCTGTTTGATTGCCACGCATCCCCCTGCAGTGCTTGGGAGCAAATCTTCGATGTTTGACCACACGTTCCACCCGGAAACGAATGCAACTGAACAAGCGAGCGAGCGTGCATAATGCGTAAACTGGTGTTTACTGCCTGCATGGTCTTCAAACGCGGCGGCCCAGCTCCTTACATAACTGTTCCAAAAGGCTTCTGGTTGACTGCAGAGTTCTTTGTGCTTTTCCTACCCTCCTTCCCTTTATCAACTTCATCAACTTCTTCCAAGGGCATCGTGAGAGAATCCACTCTGGCAATTGGCGGATGTACTTCACAGCTGTTTTGGCATAGTTGCTGTCAGGACTTGCGGATGCTTCGGAGACAACGCGCAAGTTCTCCAGTTGCCGCAGGGTTGCCGTATCCTGTGCTTTGGCAAGTCAACTCTGGCGAGTCGAAAATGCGTCAGACCAACATGCAAGGAAATTGTGGGCAACCAGCGACTGTGCACAAGTGACCGAGCAGCCAAAGCAACCGACAAAGCATCAAGAAATAGAAAAACAATACCACTTACACTCCCGAAAACTAACATGGACCGGGAGAATGGCACCCTCAAAGACCGTTTTCCTCTACAAACCAGTCGTTTTTTAGGGTCCATGTTAGCTTTGCACGTGTAGCTTCTCAGTCAGTGTTCATCACAAAACATACAAAGCCATGGACCTCGAAGAAGAGACTGGACCAGGTTCGTGAAAATGCACCGCTTCGTACTTTGGGGGACTCATCGGGTGTCAATCTTTCCTCGTCTCGTTGTCTCAGATGCGAACTCGGCGTTGCTCCAGGGGCCCCACGATTGAAAGCCTGGCGCTGCCATCAGCCTCAAATCCCAGCCGAAGAGGACTTAAGAAGTGGAGGGACGAAAAAAGAACGTAAAAAATTGGAAAAGAACCCCTCCAATGTCCAGCCTCCCATGTCCAGCCCCTTCCGTTCGATGGGGTGCCAAATTGATGGATGTTCTATCAGTTGCGTTATCTGCAGGACACATTGGACACATCCTCGAATCTGGTTGGAAATGGATTCGAGTCGAAGACTAGTTGAGAAACGGTGAACATAGTGAATGGTGTGGCAGATGGGGCAAAAACATGCAAAAACCTCTTGGGGAAACATCCTGTTTAGTTTCTCATCGCCAATTTCTCTTCGGGTTCGGAACACTCCAAAGGGCCAAGGAATCTGAGAAAATCCTGAGACAACTCTGAAATGGTTCGCCCATATTCCTTGGAAAAGCAGTTTCAGCGGACCGACACTGAGATCACCGACCTACCTTTCGTGAAGACCAATACATCGCCCACCGACCGACCGACCGTCCCAAGGCACGAAGAGAGACCTCGTGGGTCCAATGGCGGAGACCTCGGGGGTTCCGCAGGGGTGGAAGGGTGAGCTGGGGTGAGCTGGGAGACCGTTCAACAGGTGTCCATCAGATCTGATGACCAGAAGGCACCCCCAGGTGGTTGCGACTTGGAAGCTTGATGCCCCTGTGCAGCGAAAAAAGCAGAGAAAGCTGATCTCTAATTTGTCTGCAATACAAGTACAGTAGAGTAGAGTAGACTTCCGCCTTCATGCTGACCTTCTGATGTTGGTGATCACTCCATTCAAATCCCCAGATCACTTCACTTCACTGAGCCTTCTGGCCATCCGACGTTCCTGAGCCTTGCTCGTGGCTTTGCTCGAGACTGAACAGAGCAACCGTTCCTACGGCCGTGACACTGCCAACTACGCCCGTTTGGCGCTTGGAACCGGTGTGCTTTTGCACGGATCCGCACAGCAATTGGCGGTGCTCCACCGTCTGGGCGTTCCAACTGCAATTGGCTGAGCCGCTCAGAGGATGGACCCAGCCTCAGACCGGAAACGCCAGAGGCCCCCGGTACCCCGGTACCCTTCGTTGGTGGTCAGTTGTGGGTCCAAACTGCTGGCTTGGAAGAGAGGCCCCCTTTCTGGAAATAGTCATATGAAAAGAACGGTTTCCTCATTCTGACTTGCCGCAAGCTCTTGCAGTGTTCATGAAAAGTTCGCTAAATGATATGACCTCCCTGCGGCATGGAGGCAGTAACATACTCGGGCCCATCATGACCCTCAACGCACCCAAATCGATTGAATCCTCCAGTTCTAGCTACCTTAGAGGTACACATACATCAACGACCAATCAACCAAGACACAAACCAGAACAGAAAAAGTGTCTCGCTGCAGTGCTTTACACTAAAACCACACGCACACGAGACCGAGGAAAGTCCTGGGTTTCCCACCTCTCCGATGCATCTTTCAGAAGTCGCTCGTGCGCCATCTGCCGGTCGAATGGGCGAAGGCGCCGGGAACAGGCACGGGCGAAGCCCCCATGCGAGTTGGGCCATGGAACCAATCCAGCACTGGGTTGGTCTGAAAAGAAGACCAAGTACTGCTGTCATCTGCTGTCATCTGCTGTCCATGTCCGTCTGCATCAAGTTCGTTGTTATATTCTTGCGCTTTAGCCCTAGTTTTGAGGCCTTTCATATACACAGTAAGTTTGGATTGCAGATTTGAGCGATGGTCAAACACCCTACGTATAGCCTATACAGGACTTTCGGCTGTGGGCTGCAAACCCACTTCATTGCAAATAACCCTGCGCCTGTGCCTGAATTGCCGGTGTGGGCGCCTGAGAAGGATCGCATGCATTTGGATCTCCAAACAGAGTCTCACAATATGAAGAAAGGGCTGCAAAAAACGACTCAAAACTTCTCTCTACTAAACCCACGTGTTGAGGATTCTCCTTGTCCTACATGTCGGGCTTTCTGCGATCATGGACATTTCTAGGATCATCCTGTGATTCACATTGTGCAGGCAAAAATGAAGAAAAGAGTCTATATCCAGGTGTTCTTCAAAATGAAATCAAACAGGTACCTTTGCATGCTGACCTAGGAGATCTTTGTTTGGCGCACACAAAATAAACTTCGGATCCTCAAAAGGCACCTGAAATGGTGCAAATCCTGGATTCTGCCCAACCTGAGGCCCAGTTCCGTTGGCCGCGAAGCAAGCGTCAGCACGAAGCGCCCGAGGGGATCAGGTCAGCGATTCAGCAAGCGCTGAAGGACCCTCTGAAAGGATGGTTGAGGACGGTGAGACTGAGACCAAGTGTCCGGTGGGTTTTCTTATACACTCTTGTACCAAGAGTTGGGGCAACTCGCAGTAACTCACAGAAGCATCGGACAGCACGCAGGATCTGGAATTGAGCAAATGTAGCTTTGTACGAGCTTCTTCAAAGTAACCTTTTTGGAGCCCCTAGGTGACCGAACCAACCGGGATATCAAGTTCGGTCCTTTTCAGTAAAGGATCAGTTCGGGTTTACGACTTGGTGCCCTGTGGCTCCTGCACCCTGATCTCTGATGAAGCGCGGTGACGTGCGTTGCTTTTCTCTGATTCGAGTCCAACAGCGGCACATGAGCGAATGCACCTTGTAACTGGCAGAATGGGAATTCCGAAAAGGGGTTGCGTCTTAATGTTTTTGTTTGTGTAGTCATAGTCATAGCAGTCTTCGTGGTAGAGTATACAGTATATTATTGTGTATAACAAAGTTACCAAAAAATCAAGCTTTGAGCCCTGCAATTACATGAATCCAGTTGATGGCCATGCCTTACCTGAAACAAACAGGGCGCCTGCGCAGCCTGTGCCAGGTTCAAGAGCCCTCCAGGCGAAAACCCACCGGCACCTCCGCGCAGCGCTTCTTGCTACGTTCGTAGCTGTTTGTTCCTAGTAGCAATGCCCTTTGTTCCTGGTAGCTGTTCGTTTCTAGTAGCAATGCAAGGAGCTACTAGTAGCTTCTTGTTCCTAGTAGTAATGGCCTCCAACCTATCAGCGATGGCCTCCAACCTGCGATGACTGGCGATCTGAGAAGATCCAGGTTGAACCGACTCCCAAGCCGAAGATCCAGGGTTAACTGTTTAAGTGGGGAAACCAATTCCAAGGAGAAAACAACGTTAAAGGTTATCCACTTTTCCTGGGTAGGTTAAGGCGGTCGAACATGGTTCAACAGGTCGAACATGGTCGAACGGTGTTAACCATGCAAGATCTCGTCCTGGTTTTTCCCATAACTTGGATTTCCAATCCCAAGATCTCCCAACTGAGCGCAAGGAAGTGCTGCTCTGAGTCAATCCTTCCTTATGGCCTTATGGATAAACAGCCATCCTCTGCACCCCTCGTTTAGTGCTGGGTCTATCTGGAGCTCTCGATTTGGGGATCCCAATTCAATCGTACAAAATCCAATGAAGGGGGATGATTCCGCTTGGCCGAGCGGACCATTTGAAACGACTCTGGACCTCCTGGCTAGACCGCCCAGGAGGAGGAGGAAAACCGGAACACTCTCAGGAAAACCACCAGCCTGGAACGCCCGAGAACTCCAGGCCTGAGAGCAAGTTGCTTGGAACTCCAGGTGGAACACCAGGCAGTCCTTGAGCTCCAACTCCAGGAACTCCGGGAACTCCAGGTGGTGGCAGTGGAAGTTGGGGTGGCCCTTGGCCCTCCTGACCGAAGTTGTGGCGTCACAGTGCTGCAAAAAAAAGAAAAAACGGACCCCCGGTGGCGCCCGACCGTTCTGTATATTACAAATAAAAATATGTGATGTGTTTTTGTGTTTTTTGTATATTTGTTTTATGAATATAGTATTAACTCAAAGTATGCCATGCCAGGGGGTCTGTATTACGTTTTTGGGTGCATGGTTGCCATGTACATAACTCTGTGCCATCTAGCTCTGCTGATTGCGGTGAGCACACAGCTTGCAGCACCACCCCGAAGCTTCCTTCCCGACCACCGTGCACGGCATTCGAGGTATGTTCTAGATTCTAGAAGAGCGAGCGCCAAAAAGACCACGCCGAATTCAGGGACCACGCCGGTATGGTCTGTAAGAGCCATACTCCAACTTCGGCCAACGTCGGGGTTCCCGATTCCTCTGCCAGGGAAATGAAGGCGGGCAAAGAGGACTGCCGTGGACCAGCCTGAGAGGCAACGGACTGGCAGACATCCGGGCGGACGCATCGGTTGAGTCGATCCGACAGCTTCGACAAGGGGTCAATCTGGGTGACCTGGGGGTGACCTTTACAATCTGAGGCTTCTTTCTTCAGCACAAGTAGCGATGGCCTCCAACCTACTAGCTCCAACCTAGTAGGGGGGTTCTTTCTTCAGCACAAGGATATCTTGCAAAGCATGAGTTAAACAGTTAGATAGGGAAACTGAGGCCCACTAAGCCAATCGGTATGCACTTCGTGGTGTTGGCACGTGGCCACTGTTGGTCACAAAAACGAGTGACTGGCGGCTTGTTTCGCCATTGGGGGAAATCCTTGTACAAGACCTCTGTGCCAAAAGCCCCTATCTTGGAAGGAGGAATAACTCTGATTTGATTACAGTTATATAAACCCATGCCAATGTGTGCAAAAGTGTGCAAATACATCCACATACGCCCTGAGGCACGCGGACTACCAGACATGGTCCCACCAAAAAACAAAACCCGGGATCCGCACATGGTTTATCATGCTTTCGTACCTATCTCCCCAAATCTCAAAATCCAACGTTCAACATCTCTCAACCACAAATCTAACTAACCCATGGTATGGTATGGTTTGTAGAGGATGGTAGGGGATGAGGGGGCATACATTCATACCATCCTCTCAATTCCAATCCCCCAACCTCCAAGCACGTAACCCAAAACCATCCAAAACCCAAAACCCAATCACATGATCGACAGCGTGCCCACCTGTGGAAGTGCAGGGCCTGCAGACTCCCTGACGCAGCGACAAAAAGCCAAAAAAGAACAGACCAACCCCATCGGAATCGGCCTCAGATGCCATTAATGACTGGTTCAGATGGGCCAAGTTGTTCAATTTGATGCTTCAAGTCTGATCTGTTCTGTCGTTTCGGCCTGTTTGGGGCTCAATGTAGATGGTATGTTTTATGTCCGCCAAGAATTTGCCAAAGACAGACTACCAGGTGGGTGTCCAATGTTTGGTCAAAGCTTGATACTCTCCGGTTCTGCTGGCCAAATGTGAATGAATTCCAAGGCTTCCATTTTGGAGAAAAAACGCGTAAAGAGTCCAGCTATTGACACGGCAAAGCACTCTTGCCAAAAACACCGAATGCCAAACCGGATGGAAACTGAACATTCCTTTCGGCCCAAGAAAAGGTGCTTTAACGCGGGAAGAACTCAGGGTGAAACATTGGCAGAAGGTTGCACTACCCCACAGTACAGTGACCCATAATCATATAATCCCCCACAGAAACACTCTCCCAAAGCCTGGTGAGAGGTGAGATGAGAAGTGTTTGCTTGGGCTTGGAAAGCGCAGTTGGGTCAATTTCCCACCTATCACGCAGCTGTGCCTTGGCTGGGGCAAGTTCCTCAGAAGATTGAGGTCTCCCAGCTGACATCCAAACAAATAGACACACCGGCACCATGGTCAACCCAAAGTCACGGTGCCCTCCAATGAATGAAACCCGACTGAGTATCCACCAGCTTAAACCCAACAGCGCACGATGCAGGGAGATTCGGAGATACCGATTGCACCAAATGGCTGGGTGCGCAGAAAGCACCTGACTGGCTGTCGACGGCTGCGCCGGAGGGTCCGCATCGAGGCCCAGCAAAGAAACGGCACTCCTTGTTTCGACTTCCATACCATGATCATGGAACTCCCGGTGAAACGAAGCGGAAATACAGTAACGTTTCGTCGTCCCTCAAATGACCTTCTTCAAAATCAACCAAAAACACATGTTTTGTTGAAAACTAAACCATGTCCCCAGCACACGGCTGTGAGAACATGCGTCCAAAACATCCTTCCTCTCCTTCCCCCCGACCACAGACGACCTGACCGGTCTCAGCGAGTCGACTCGTGGTGTCGGACGTCCGACTTCGTCGTTGGTCGACTGAGAGCCCGAACGCGAAGGGACTCGCCATGCCTCACGAGTCGACGAGAACTCGCACGAGTCGTCCCGGAAACGAGGAGTCCGGCGCCGAAGAACGGGCACCAGTGACTTGAACAGCCCAACAAAGACCCACCTGGACGTAACATGGCGTAGTTGATGGTGTTTGCTGAACCTGGACTGAATTGACATATACTTGATTGTTTGGACTGTTGAAAACGGTGGACAACCCAAGTCGTCTGACCCAAAATGTCTGAGGTGCAGGGCTTGTGGATAGGCGGGCCAACAAAACATCGAGGGATGGTTGCGAGGGTGGATTTAGGAGCTTTCCAGAGATGCAAACTTGTGGTGCTGAATTCATTGTTCAAGTGACCCAAACACTCGGAGCCTGTAAGACAGCCATTCCAAAAACTTGGAAAAGGCATGTCAAATTCAAGCACCAACCGCTCTCAGCTCTGGTGGCTCATGAAGTTCAATGATTCGTGAGGTGGTCTGTTGCAAACACAGGATGTTGGACCATCCTTCAGGTCTATCCTATTACAACAGTGGATGATGATGGGGCCTGGTTGCCAGGCCGACAGTTCAAAAAATAGGTGGATTTGCAGGCCCAAACAGGTCCTGTTACAGGTATCGGACAGACCCAAACCATCCAAATGTCGCGGTTTCAGCCAGCAGCCGACTCTTTGGACTCTTTGGACTCACAAACTCTAGGAGTTTGGGTATGGCGAGTTTGGTTGTCCGTTTTTGTAACAAGGGCATTACTACTAGAAACAAGAAGCTCACTAGGTGGAGGCCATCGCTATTAGGATGGAGGCCATTACTACTAGAAACAAGAAGCTACTGTACCAGTAACAAGGTTCATACCCTTTTCTGATAGGCCTTATACTAGGCCTTATATAAGCCTTATGGTAACTAGCTTTTTGGAGCGCCATTCAGCCTGGTCCATGATGTTGGCACCAACGCCTTAAGTCGAGTCGTGACCCACAGCAACTCCCCCACAGGACACCTGCATGTTGCGTGGCTGCATGGGCCGCAGCTGCATTCACCATGGCTGCAGCCTGCGCGAGTTTCGCTCGGTTTCAACATGTTCCAACAAACATGGCCGTCCGACACGGCTCAGGAATTCGGCAAAAAAAGAATTGAAGATATATGAGGTGCGGACAAAACTAAAATATTCATACAATATGCCATATGCCAAACTGGGTCGTCCCCTATCGGTTGTGAGGATTTAGGCATTTTAAATGTGATGTCATGATGGTGTGATTTGTGCAGCATCGGTTGTGAAGGGCTTGCCATGTTGCGTTTTGATTGCTCTCCACTTCGGGGCCTGAAACTGTGAGTACCTTGTGAAAGGCTTGTGGAAGCAAACAGCAGAGTAGCATCTCCTTTTTTGACTTGGCGTTAGGCATCTGACATTGAACTTGAGGAGCTGGATTCTGAGCTGGTGCCCTGACCTGCTTCTACAATGCTTTGCTCTTTCTTGGCCAAAAGTTGTTGCTTGTGTTTACTCCTCGGCCTCCTCCGTTGTAGTCTGCTAATCTTCTTGTCAATTTCCTCTTGGATGTCTGCATCATCTGGTACGAGTGTGTACATGTTTGCAGAATTTTCTAATGCCTCCTTGTACTTCCTTGCTCGCCTTATTGTAAACACCCGTAGGGAAACATTGCAATGAGGTGAAACTATTCTACCATGTGGATGCTGAGAAATGAAAACTGCAGCTACAAACATGAGAGATCTGCACACCCGCCAGGGTCCGGCATATAGTGTCAGCCCTTCAAATGGGACAAGGGGCATAAATCTGCAAAACAGGGTACCGGTTAGTATCGGTTGACCTGTCCGTGAGAGCTCCCACATTCCATGGCGTAAGCACCCACACACGTGAGGAGACCAGTCAACCAAGAGAACCCCTGGATCCAAACACACAGCAAAACCGTGAGGAAACCTTCCAAAGAGGAAGCCAATCACATCTCCTGGACCTGTCCTCAAAACAAAAAACAATCCCCAGCTATTGCTCATTAATGAAACCTAATCGGCGAACTAACGTGACAAAGGTGTGATAGCCCTTGCAATATAACCCATTAAGGTTCAGAACTACTCTTATTAGCACCTTGGACTCCAAATTACAGCCATCAAAAAACAATAACAACCAAAACAATCTTGGTAGGTATATAGGGTATCGGTGGTGGGTCGTCCCCTATCGGTTGCCAAGGATTTCTTCACTTCTCTAAAAGCACAAAGCGGCCTCTTACATATTTAGTATTCCAATAATTTTGTCGGTTGCTCGGTTGCTCATATATATATATATATATACAAAGATGCAGCACTCACTTCTTTTGTTCCACTTCGCAGCGTTT